TGCCCTTTTTACCATGCCTTATCACAAAAGGTGCCTGCAGGGGGACACCTTGAGTTTGTTTAGCGAAGCAAGTGTGTGCCCCTCCGGGTCTAATGTTTGATAGTTCAATTCAGCTCCTTTCTTGGATTGATTTTTCAATACAGACGCCCCCCCTCAGCCCTTCGTCCCGAAGTGGATCTTATTTGGAGTGGGTCGTTTGGTTTAGTACTTTTCATCCGCTGCATAGTGCTGTTCATCTCCAGGTCTTATGTCGATCATGCATGCTGCATAGTTTGTTGTAATCACACTAATTACTTTTGACCTCCTTGAAATTGCACATTTTTCAGCCCTTTCCTCACTATAGGAGCTATGTGAACGCGCCCCATCACAATAAAAAGACGCTAGCACCTTGGGTGCGGTCGGATCTTGCTGCATTGTTGGCTATGTTTGTCATAGGAAGCGGGAGACAGCCATCGAGAAGTTGCAACCCACGCCTGCACATCTACGTGGTGTAGTGGTGTCACGTTGGCTAACATGAGTGGGGGAAACAGGGCGGGGAGAGAGCAAATCTGAGCGGTTTCTTTTTTGGTTCGAGAAATGTCCGTCATGATGTCTTTGCTTCGGACATTGGAGGCTTCATCGCTTTCTTAGTTGCCGCTGTGGGTGCTCGACGCGTGGAGGGCGTGGACGTGGATTCTACGCTCATCTCCAAGGCTTTGAGGCGTGGTCCTCGGCCAACGGGCTAGATTCAAGTTCATTGAGTTCATTTTGGGATGATAGGGAGGTTTTGTAGATTTCAGAAGCATTTGAGTTCTTTTTGCTCTTTGTTTTGTCCTAAAAATCTAGGAACCAAAATGCTAAGTGCGAGCGTGAGCTACTTAGCCCTTACTTGCTTAAAGTAGGCGCCCACTTAATTGAGTTGTGGGAGGGCAGAGTGGCCTATATAAAGAAGAAAGACAACACCGTTCTTAAAAGAGATGGGAAAGGTTTCCAAGGCATGCAAGACAGCAAGACACCAGCAAACAGACTCAAATGAGCAGAGAACCGCGGAGATGCTCAGACCCTACAGGTTGCTTGGAACCAATGGGGGTCCCCCGAACGTGGGCGACGTCAGCAACTTTAGTGTGTGCCGGGGGTGAGCGTGTCGTCCAAAGCCACCATCTACGACATTGAAACTAGCCTGCGGCGATGTAGACATAGCACAACGAGCTTTGTCCATACAAATGTGGCCGCCTCAGTCCCTCAAGTGAACATGAAGATATTGCATTTGCAATTTTGCATTTGTGGCCCCGTTCTTCTGTGGCTGGCTCCAAATCTGTGCCTCCAAAAAGAACAAACAGTGGGGGAGTCGTGCTTTACAGCTTATCAGATACTCGCAGGGTAAACCGAACTGCTTCAATTGAGTGATGCCCCCTTGGCAGACCAGCACAGCTAGTTACTTGTACTTGGTTGGCTTGGCTAGATTCGCTAGATGTCTGCTAGGTATTTCCCACAGCCACTCCCGTTCCAACCTTAAGAGCAAAACATTTCTGATCCCAAATGCAATCTCCAGCAGAGTTGCTGTAAGGGTTCTGAGGAAGACTTGTGGCTGGTAGGGTCAAGACTATTTGTTCAACTTTTCTTTTGATTTGAAAGGTTTTGGTTTTGGTTTTGGTCGTTCATTGTTGCTAGATGACCCATGACATGCTGCGGATGATGCTTAGTAGCCTCTTCTCATTTTTTT